TACGATAAGTGTATCAATAATTTCCCTCTCAAAGTAAGCTACATGCATCCTACAATATATGACTTTTTAGAGTTTCATGTTTTTATTTCGATTAGGAATATATGTATAAATCCGATAGCCGTATGTATATAATTTCTAACACCTGTAGAACATAATAAAAGTTGACTACATTTTTACTAATATAAGGTAGCTGTATTAGACTGGTGTAGTGTCATTTTAGTCACTACATGTTGAGGACAGCTATTTAACTACCGTAGGACTGTACACGCTAATGCACGCGTGCACATATCCGTAGCATGCAAGATTTCATTATAATATCGTGCTACTGCTGTAGATTAGCGAAGCATCATTATTCTTACTATACGTTGATGGAATATATCCAACTATCAAAGATGTCTACGCTTTTTTATAGTGTATATGGATTCCTAGCATATAGTGTTTCATCATTATATCGCGCTATTGTTATTGGATAATCGAAGCATCTTTTTAGCCTATACTCAATTCTATAACGTATATATTTCGCTTAAGTATCATCATTCTTTTTTCTTGTACAAACAGTAAAGGACTCCATGTTGACAACATGTTGACTCCATGTTGTCTCTTTGTTTCTATCTGAGTGAAAGGAAACAAAAACTTTAGTAGTACCGTAGAAAGCGTCACGAACAAATAGGACGATTTTGAAAATGAATAGTACCAATAAACTTCCAAAACGAAGCCGGAAAAATTGGGATTTATTATCGAATAAACAAAAAAGAATTCGCCAACAAGCGCATTATAATGCTATTAGAAGTGCCGTCGAATGTACACTAAGTACATCTTCAAATCAATCAGTTATTGAAGACTGTGCAGTAAGTGCATTAAGTAGTAAGTGTGATAACAAGACAATAAGTGCGAATGACAATAATTTTCATGAAGAAACTGATGTTGACATTGGTGATATTGATAAAGATATCAATGTTTGTGTTGACCGAGACGACCGAGACGACGATGATTCTTTTCACAGCAGTGATGACGATTATTATGATGATGACGACAATTATGATAGTGATAATTCAAATGGTGCATTCGTCAATACTCAAGATCAATTTACTACTGACTTAGCCAGAATGTGTGTTAAAACCAAGATGACTCACGTTCAGATTAACAGTATGTTATCTGTTCTTAGAGAACATAAGTTTCATCAGCAGTTACCGAAAGATGCTCGAACTCTGTTAAAGACTCCTACAAAGTGCACAGATATAAAGGTTCTCAATCCTGGCCATTATCTTCATATTGGTGTTACTAAAAACATTATTATGAAATTAAAAAACATACCAATCAGTGACGAAATACCTCGTATATTACTTGTAGACTTTTCTACCGATGGTGCTAATATTTATAATAATGTTCGTTGCGACGTGTGGCCGATACAATTCCGAATAATAAATATAACCGATAAAAGCCCAATGATAGCAGGCCTTTATCAAGGAAAAAAACAACCTGGTAATTTCAAAGACTTTTTCGCTGATTTTAATAAGGAAATCATCGAATTAACAAATACAGGATTAATATTTAATGGACAAAATATTAAAATACAGTTAAATGCATTTATAGCCGACACTCCAGCAAAGCACCATTGTCTTAATATTAAAGGTCATGGTGGTTATTACAGCTGCCCAAAATGCAAAATTCGTGGAGAACGTCATAAGAACGACCGTACCCATGTGTATAAAGGAATAGGCTACGCTCTTAGGACCGATCAAGAATTCATTTCTTTTCAGAATAATTCTGGGAATAATGACGACGGACATTATAATGGGATTTCGACTCTCTACAATTTACCTATGGGATTAGTGAGTCAAGTAGTAATTGATTATATGCATGGAGTGTGTATTGGAGTCGCTAAGAAAACTGTAGTGGATGCGTGGATTGAAGGAAAACACAAGACAAGACCATTAAATGTAGAAACAAAAAACTGTATTTCTGAACGTTTGTTAACAATAGCTACCCAATGCCCAAAAGAATTTGCACGTCGTCCACGAGGTTTAAATGACTGTCATCGATTTAAAGCAACAGAATATCGTCAATTTTTATTGTATACATCACCGACCGTATTATTAGATTTATTTGGAAATGATACTAGGATGTTACATTTTTTAAAACTGCATTGTGCTATTCGCCTCTTAATCAAGCCAAAACCGAACGACAATGAAATTGATAAAGCACATAAATTATTAGAAGCATTTGTTTGCGATTGCATCGAAATTTACGGACGAAATTATTTATCATACAATGTACACTGTTTAATTCATCTCGCTGAATATGTTCGTAGATTTGGCCCCCTGGATCATTTTTCATGCTTTCCATTTGAAAATAATATGACATTTTTCCGGAAGATTATTAGGAGTCGAACGAAGGAATTAATGCAAATTTATAATCGCTACGAAGAAAATATAATAAATGATGCAATATCTTCTACATTACTTAAATCAAGTAAAATAATTACCGCCTATGGCCCGAAAAAAAATACCACAGAAAATAATAAACCTGTTATAATAACAAATAAATTATTACTGCAATTTCATCGGATTAAAATTAATAATTTTACGTATGATGTAGATAATAAAAATAACTGCTGTATTTTACATGATGGTAGAATTGTTATCATTGATAATATTTTAAAATACAGTGACGGCACCTATCGGCTTGTAGGTAGAAAATTTAATATAATTGAGCCTCTTTATGTAATCGATGAAAATTTAAATTCAACACATGTTGATATATTTAAATGTAGCGAATTAGGAAATATATATTTAGATATTTTACCGAATGACATTAAATATAAAGGATACAAAATGCCTTTTTGGAGAAATTGTGAAAAATGTTTTGAGGTTAACATGTCAGTTGTTGCAGCAATTTACGATGATGAATGGCTGCATTAAATTATTATAAACATGTGTAACATATATGTGAAAGTATGATAAATATGTAAAACTAAGTTTCAACAATATTCAATTTTTAAATAAAAATAATATAATAAAAATAATAAAAATATTATTAATAAAATAAAAAAATAAAATAAAATAAAAAAAAATAAAAAATAAAAATAATATCTTGCTTTCACTCTCATGGTCTTGAAGCGACGCGCGACAAGGAGAGCGAACGAGAGCGGAGCCAATCACGAGCGTTCCGCAGCGTTGAGGATTTAGCCTTATGCCAGGGACGACACGGCCCTGTCGAAAGATGAGTAGAGGGGATACGCTGATACGCACCATAAGACGGTATACGTCGTACGTGTGTGCTTGGTGGCCATCTTTCGACAGGACTTGTAGAGGGAACTTCGTCTCCCATCTCTGAGTGATTCGGATACGAAGTGAGTGTTTTCTACGAGTATTGTGTACGCAATAGAGAAAGAGCGATTATTAACTGGAATTTTCATCAAACGGGAGGCGATCCTAATAGATCAGCTGGCGAGGGCCGCGAAGAGCCACGAGACAGAGCATTGGGCTCCTTTCTTTTTATGAAGCAAAGCAGTGTGAAAGAGGAATCACTCGTCCCTTCGGAAGTGTAATTTGTACAACTGAGTGAGTTTATCCTGTCTACACGATATTTATATTATATTACACGATATTATATGTCCAAAAAAAATAAATAAATGATTATTTATAATAATCTGAAGGACAACCCAGAAAATACGATAGGCGCCAAGACGTCCGTTGCCTACCATGTTTTGTAACAATACATTGTTGGCTTTCAGGCAGCGAAGCACTGTTTATGTTATGGAACCTCAAGGTCCTCAAGTCACACTCGTAGAAAAGGATTTTATGCCGACTGAAGGTGATATATTAGACCAGCTACTACAGGATATTTCAAATTTTACCCTGGCTTTAACAAGAAATAAAAACGGAGAATGTGAAGAAAAATTGAATAAAAAAAAAAAAAATGCAAGTTCTGTGTAATGTAATGATTTACGCTTTAGGATTTCTATATAAATATTGTTTATTACTTCGACCCGACTATAAGTCTGGCGAAGTATTGAATCCATCGGCTCTTTCATCTAATCTCCACGTTTAAGCTGTGCCTCGCCCTTAAATAAAGATGATAATAATAGTAATAAATAATAATATATTTTGATAATGCAATTTTCAGATGCCAACTTAAATAGAAATAAGGAAAACATTTCAAACGACAATGCATTAAAGCATAAAGCAGCGGATGAAGAAAATTATATAGATCTGTCACTTTTAAATAATAATCATCTGTCGATTTTAAAATTAATACTAACTAAAATAAAGTAAGTGCTATTTATATATAAGCATATAATTTAACATTCTAATAAAATATAAATAAACAAATATAATTTTTTAGAGAAATAAAAAAGGGACAAGATAAAATATTGCAAAAAATAAATAATTTAAAAAACAAACAAAAAAGTAGTAAAGATATTATACGAGCTGTTCAGCAATTGAACCTTCCGGTGCAAACTGTAGAACAGTTTCAGATTTTAATAAAAGACGAAAAAACATTATCCATTTTGGTAAGTTAAAATATAATGTTTTTAAATTAAATGTGTGGATATATATACACGTACATGATATTTATTTTTATTATTCTACTTATCCGATATGTATTTTGAAACTTTTCAGGAGCAATTATTTATCCTTCTTGGGGGACTTAACATTTCAAATGCATTAGATGGCTTCTTGAAGGCAAGTGTAACGGACAAATTAATTAAGACATCTTTCACATGGAAAGAAGGTGAAAAAAAAATTCGGTTTTGGGAAACGCCTTTAAGTCTACAATATTATGGTAAAAATTACTTTATATTATTTTATTTTAGGTAAGACGCACCCTTTAGACCAGAGTGGAAAAATATTGCTTCTGGAGCGACATTTTCCCACTTCTGATCTACGTATATACTTATATTAATGTTGTTACAATTTTAACTCATCATTATTAATTAATACGTTTCCAATTTTTTTTCAGTCAATTTCTGAGTTGAAAATAAATTTAAAATGTGACAAAGCAAATCCTGAACTTAATTATATGAACATATTTTTATTGCAGGTGCTTTCCGACAAATCGAACAATTTAAAAATACCTCTGTTAAAGAGTTTGAAGTGGAAATGGCCAAGGTAATAAAAAATGCACAACAGCGTCACTACATGGTTCAACAAAGAGCAGTGCAAGGAAGCTCCAGTGCTTTGCAACGATCTAAAGTGAAAGAAAAGCTTGCGGCTAACTATGCGGTAGCTGGCGCTGGTAATCGAGAGTAATCGAGTAATTATCCTAACGCTTCATATGATATGATAAGCTATTTAATATAATACGATAATTTATTTGTGTTATAAATAATATTTCTTGTGATATAAATAAATAACTGTAATAAATATCTGTAACATAACAGATTGTGATAAAATAAAACTTAAATATATATTTTTTCCTTATTTGTTGTACTCACATTGTTTATTTAAGAGTTTAGCAGCTTCGCAGGATATTTTGTATACTATTTTGAATCTCTTGTTTGACGATAAAAATTAATTACAAAATTATGCCAATAAATTTTGCAGATTTCGAAATATGTCTGTCACTGTCAGTTGTAGAGCTACTTCTGTACATCGGGAGATTCAAGCATGAGACATATGCTGTTTTCAATTCCTTATAGTACATCTCAATACTAAATGACTTGTGTACATATACAGGTATAAGGTACTGTATACAACTATATAGTATCCATCTTAATTTGGTCTCGAAAGCTATTTTTTAGACCTAAGTGGCCTTTTAAGCAATAACATGATTGATACTATATAATTATATAGTATTTTACAATGGATTTTTTAGTATTGTATTTATTGAAATTATAAAAAGGCAAGAATGTAGGATACATTCTATCTATTGTAATGCGGTAGAAGCGGGCATAAAATATGAGCTACTTTCGATCTACTGTAGTGCTAGAGAAGAAGGAAACGAAATACGAGTCATTTTTTACCTATTGTAGACTGGTAGAAGCGAGCATGAAATGAGAGCTACTTTCGATCTACTGTTACTCAGTAGAAGAGTGCACGGTATGTGAGCTACTATCGATATACTAAAATGTAGTCACTTTTGACCTACCATGAGGCAATAAAATCGAGAAACAGTGTTCGGACTCAATTAAGATACTATAGGAGCAAACAAGTTTCTTCATCAAAGATCTTTTTTACTTTGTTACTGTTGATTACTACTTGTTAACACTGAGGAACGTAGGGAGACCAGTTGTAGCTTATCTACAGTTGCTGGAATGTGAAATGCTTGTTGCATTCTCCTATGTTACCTGGGTAAATTTTTATTGAATTAGCAAATTAGTAATTAGTCACAAAAATTACTAATTATATAAAAATTAATATTTAGGCAAAAGTAAATTACCCATTACTTAAAAGATTGGTAATTCGTATCAGAGAAAAATTTTTAGTTACGTGAAAATTAGTATTTAGGTAAAAATAAATATTAATTTTTTTTGCAAATTGGGAATTAATAGAAATAAATTCTTTATTATTAAAATCTCAGAATGCTGAGACAGCGGCAGAGTAGCGCGGAACAGATACGGAGCAGCGTACGTGCTCCGATCGGGGTCATCATACTCCTTCCGCCTTAATGAAATGAATGTATATGTCAATAGCGACAGGATCAGACAGATCGCTTCTGAAAGTAACCGCGCATCCTACGTAACGCGTGTTGACTTAAGTTACTATTTAAACCTTTTGTAATAAAGTGAGAGCAAATACATCCTCTTTACTGTAAAGTACAGAGTGTCGTTTATTAGTGCGTGGATCCTAATCTTTTGGGCCTACATCCCAAAGTCCCTCCTTCACGGCTACGGGCACAACAGCACTTATATTAATCGCATACTTAACTTCTATTGCAAATTCAAAAAATACTTGTACATAGAGTTACATATCGACTGGTTTAATTCAGGGTTTGACACGATCAGGTGAGAGTATTAAGTTATAAGGTCTGGTGACATTCCCTGATAGTACAGATAGGTCTCTGCAACCATTTATGCTACACCTCTCATGTCTCCTTACAGTGCCAGACTAGAGTCAAGCTCAACAGGGTCTTCTTTCCCTGCTAATTTTTCCAAGCCCGTTCCCTTGGCAGTGGTTTCGCTAGATAGTAGATAGGGTCAGTGGGAATCTCGTTAATCCATTCATGCGCGTCACTAATTAGATGACGAGGCATTTGGCTATTTACATCACGTCCTTTTGGCGCGTCTTACCGCTTCGGGGCAGTGCGGTTCCCGATAACAACGGGTCCCGGCTCGAGCGACCCTGCAGGTTGACTATTGGATCGCTCATCTGCGCAACGGGTTACCCAATAGCAAGGATACGAGATCCAGCATAACTTTCGTTCTTTATTATCACCTATCTTATAGTAACTGGCCTATCTAGCACTCTTGGCAAGTCCTCCCGCAGGAGGGAAACCCATCTGACTGATCTGCCGCGGGATTCCTGCGTACGGACTGGAAAAATTATTTAAGCAGAGTCCCCTACTTGGGGAAACGGAACTTGGCCGGCTTAGTGTGTTGCCGTTACCGCGGGGAGCCACGTGGAGGCGTCCGCCCGTGTGCCGGGGCGGTTCGGTCACACGACTCTGCCGCCGCTCAGTGCCCATCCGAGCGACTCGCATCACTGATGTCCACGGCAAAAGTGCCGGCATAGATTAAAATCGGGAGTGTAGAATGCTCCCGAATAAATAAATAAATAAGTAAAATATTGGGTGGATCAGGTCCCAGACCGTCGTTTATGTATAAAATTACATCAGTGAGCTAGTGCCAAGAGTTTTTAATCTGCAGCATCGCTGCTGTTGAGGCGCAAAGGCGCGTTATAATCCATAAACATATGGAAGAGTTCCACTGAGCTCCTGAGTGCTTGAAGTGTTAGCGTTCTCAGCGAGCCTCTGTCTTTAATTCCCAATTTACGAAGACAGGTAACAGTGTCTTTGGGCATTGCTCCTCTTGTCCCGATAACTATCGGGAGGATCATACAGTCTTTCGCCCCTAATTGGGCTTTAAGCGGGCCTATGAGGGACGCATATTTGGCGAGCTTGTCCCTCTTGCCTCTCTCTAAGAGATCGCCATCCTCATGGCAGATTGTTACATCAGCCACAAAGACCCTTTCCCGATACTGCATGATCAGGTCTGGTTGGAGATTCCTCAGATGAGGGTCCTGTAGTCGAGCTTCTTTCGTTATTGTCATTCCACGTTGCCCCAAAACGTGGCGCTCTATGAAGTCTCGAATATCATTGTGGCGTTTAATACGACCAGACTTGGTGTACACGCACTGCCCCAGTATATGACCCAGTGTCTCGGGTTGAACCTTGCATTTACGGCACATGACGCCGCTGTTCTTAGTGGCTCTGTTCAGCGACACCTTGTTTGCCGCGACATTGGCTTTTAACTTAAGAGCCGTAATATACCTGGAAGGTTTCAACAGGTTAGGCCGGTATAACCATTCATTACCCACCTTATCGTCTTTATAGGCTGGCACACCCTTGCCTTGGGACGGTAACTCCGCCCATTTGTGCCATTCATTCGCTTTGGCCTTATTTTTATAGCCGTCGATCTGTTTGATCGACTCTAGGGGCCAGCCCAGTTTGGCCACGTGCGCCAAGCGCTTTAATTTGTTCTCTAACCCCCACGCCACTACTAAGGCTTGGATCGCCTGATCGCTGTTATTCAGAAAGCGAAAACCAGCTTTTAACATTGCGGACGTTACAACAATACCAAACTTGGGAAAACCCATGCCGCCATCGCGCTTAGACGCGTATAGCAGACCATCTGCTGTAGACATTGGAAGGTGCAGATAGTCATTCACCGCCGTCCTTAGTGTTCGGTCCAGTTCACTTAAATCTGTGGCACTTACTGTGCCCGCGGTGAAGGCATACAAGAAGTGCGGCAAAACATACCGCGCCAAAAGTTCAACTTTCTGATGTGGCTTCAGGGGTAGCCTTTTAATTCTTGGGAGCGTGTCCCTTAGCCGCGCAATTGCGTGCTTGGTAACTACTCTTTCCCACGGAGTAACCCGAATGCCTAGGTATTGCATTGACTGAGCAGGGCCACAATAGGCGATCATCTTGCCATTGCTGTGTATTTATAGATCCACCATATACCAATTAGTTTTGGTGGTAACAATACCAAAAGCAACGCACTTCCCAATTGATAGTGCCATTCCCCAT